CTCTGGTCACTCAGCCTGTGGTGGGAGACAGGGGACAGCGGCTCCTCTAGCCTGCACTCAGCTGTCACTTGAAACCCCTGAGGTCTGCCGTCTTCAGGCCCTCACCGTGGACATGGCTGCACGGCCTTCAGCATATGTTCCCCATCGAGGCCTCAGCACTCTTCAGTGTGGCCATGCTGAGCCATGTCCCCCTGTGGGTCCTGGTCCTGGTCTACGGAGGAGTTAATCGGATGAGGTCAGGATGTCTGCCCGCCCCAGTGCCCAGGGCTCTGCCCCAGGAGCCCATGGCAGGCCGCTGTCCTCCCTGTATCTGAAGGCTGGCATTCAGGTCTGGCCCAGGATCACTGGACACAGACCAGCCCTGGTGGAGAAGCCCATTTGGGGAGCAGAACCTCCCCCAAGGACATGGCCAGGCTGTGGCTCAAAGTCCTCAAGTCGACTTGCCCATCCTCAGGGTGAGCAGAAACCCAACCCTTGGCTCAAAGATTCAGCCCTGCCCCTTCCTTCTCAAAGTCTTCAGTCTCTATCCCCAGGGCAGCCTCTCCACCCCCTCTAGTGACCAAAGGACAGGTAGGTGTGAGGGACCTTTGAACCCAACCCCCAGACTCAGCTTACAGCCTCCAAGATGTAGCAAGGAACCAAGGCCAAGCCCCCATGCCCCTTACTAGACTAGGGTGGCTCCAAGGACAGCCACTAAATTCCACCCTGACCAGGAGGCTAGTGACAGGGCCTTGCTGGGGCTCCCCCTGCTGGCCAAGGCCTGAAAATGCACCTCACTGGGACCGGAAGTGCATGATCGGCTGGTGGCCAGGTGTAGAGCGGTGAATTCTTCAGGGCTGGTACCACCCGGACCCATATTAGACATTTCCCAGGTTCTGGTCCCACCCCAGCCAGAACTCTGTTGGATTCCCTAAAGAAGTGACACTGAGGTGAGTCCTCTGGGATAATAGGAGGCGTAACTGGAAGCCCAGCACCTTCCATGGGGCTCATCCCAAACCCCGGGGTGCTCCAGGGAACTTCATTGATCTGGGGTGGGTGAGGAGAAGGCCTCCGGGCGGGGGGCGGGGGGGGGGCATGCCCATCTCCAGGACTCCATTGTCGGCTGCCCCTTGGGCCAGACAGTTCCCTCAGGTTGTCTTCCATCTTCCTTCCTGTGTGGTATCACATTTCTTAAATATCTTAAAATGTTTAACAAAAGTTTTCTCTATCTCATTTCCCCACCCCGCCACCGTCCCATTTCTTGGATACTCTGGGAAAAAAACTTCAGATCAGGTTTGCAGCCCTGACTCAGCCGGTCCCCGTGGCTCCAGCCCCTGCCAACAGTGTTCCTTCCAGAGACCTCCACTGGCCAGACTGGATGGACAGCCCTCAGCCTCCCACTCCCATTTTTCCTCCTAGTTAGTCCCTGGGGTCCCCATTCTAGCGAGGGGCCCAGCCTTGGCCCTGATGCCCCTCCCAATCCCTGTCCACTCTGGGTTACCCTATCCAGGGTCAGGGCTCTAAATACCTTTTCGATGCAGAAGACTCTCCAGATTATATGCCGGCTCAGCCCACGGTCCCAAACAGCACCCCGCAATGCTCTGTGGCCCACAGGCTCCTGCCTGATGCAGGGCACTGAGCCCTGGTCCTCCTTGGGAGGCCAGCTCTCCCCAGTGCCCCGTTTCGCTGACACCAGCAATTCCCACAGGGCACAGGCCTAGGTCAGTTCTCTGAGCCCAACCTACCCACCTGGCTCTTCCCTCCAGAGGGGTATAGAAACCCACTTCTGTGCAGACCGCCCCCCCCATGCTGGCCACTCTGCCCCAGTCCCTCATCAGCATGCCAGCCAGAGATCGTCCTAGAACACAAGGCGGGTCAGAACCACTGCATACAGAGCAGAAGCCAAAGCGTTCCACGCCAGTGAGTCGGGCCCACAACCCTCTCAGGTGTGTTACCTGCTCCCTACACACACCACAGTAGCGCATGCTACAAAGAGTAGCCATGCCTGGGACACAGCCTGCACATAGCAGTGCTCAGGTCCCTGTACTACAGCTCATGGCCACTCATGGTCCAGGCAGCAGTGCAGGCTGGGGCTCCCCTCGTCTGCAGGTTCTCAGGGATCCAGCCCCCAGCACACAGCAGTTCTTCTCAGGACATCTGACCACATTCCTGCCCTCCAGAATGGGTTTCTGCACCCCCACCCCACTGCGAATCTGATGCCGCAGGCCTATCGAGTGTTCTTGGTTTCCTGAACACCAAGCCTGGGCTCAGCTCTCAGCTTTTGTCTCACTGTCCCCGCTGCCTGGAAGGCTATCCCTGCACACACCAGATCCGTGCTTCCCTAAGGCCCCTGATGGGCATCCCCCCCCAGCCTTTTCCTCACCCACCCCAGATCAATGAAGTCCTGCTTGCAGCCAGCCTAGACAGTCTCCTGGCAGAACTGTCACCAGGTCTCACCTGGGAAAGTGTCTGTTGAGTGGCCAGGTGCATGTTGGTCCCATTGGCCTACAACCAGAATCTCTTCCTCTGGAGGAGGAGATCCAAGGGGCCAGCGTTTTGAGTGCTTCTCTTTCCTCTTCCACCCCAAAGGGCAATTTTCCCACACTCCCTGGCAACCAGGAAGCTGTCCCACCCCTACTGAGCCCTTCTTGACAAAAACAAAAGCTAGTGTGCCCAACCAGTTCCCTGCCACCACAGGTCCCGCTCTGGCACAGGAGGAAGAGTGGTGAGTAGAAGCCCCTTCCTGGCACCCACCAGCTCCAGGGGACCCTCGTTCTCACGACCTGCCTCTGGGCAGTTTCAGAGGCTCACCTCCCACCTCAGCCCCAGGCCCCTGGGCGAGCTGACATTGGCCCACCTCTGGCCAGATCTGTGAGAGGCGGATAGGTCCCAGAGTCTGATGGGGAGTCTGGCACCTCTTGGGGACAGTGCCTCGCCCTCACCCACAGAGGACAGACCATCTGCACACCAGCCCTCTAGGGCTCCTCAATCTGAGTCCCCTGAGATTCCTAGACCCAGCCCCCACTCTTCCCAGGCCAGCCTTCCTGTGCACCCTTCCAGGAAATGCTGGCTGCCCAGGCTCCTGGCCCTGGCTGAAGCCATCCTCCTAGTGTCCCCACGGAGGCCAGAGGTGCCGCTTCTGAAACTGAGCCTACAGGACCTGGAACTTGCCCCCAGATGCCAACGCTTTCCCCCATCAGCACTGTTGGCCCTGGAATCTCCCTCGGCACAGTGCATGCACCAACCACAGAGCAGTAGGCGCCACCCCACTTCCTGGGGACTTCAAATGGCCCTGCCAGCAGGCCTCAGGCTATGTGTCTCTGCCCCAACTGTCAGTTCTGTGGCCTGCTCTCACTGGGCAACCTGAGGGGATCCTCCATGTCCACCCCATCCTGATGCCAGCTCCTCTATCTGCTGCAGCATTCTGCTTGAGCTGAAGTTAAAATGTGCCGAGGGGACACTGGTTCTGACATTTAGGCCTGTGGCCTGGCCCTTGCCTGGGTTGCAGAACAGGAGAGTGGAGCCAGGGTCCTGAGTGAGCACCTGCTCACCCAGCAATCACCAACTAGCCGGAGAGCACTGAGGGTGTGTGGCACCGGGGACAAGTGCTCAGGCAGTACATGCTCCTGCAGACTCCTAAGGCACTCAGTGTGGGCCACAAAGCTACCGTACCCAGGTGCCATGCATCTCCGTGGCCCGGCCAGTGATAGGGACATGACAGGAGAGCTGACATGGAGAAACATAGCATCTCAGTAGCTCCCAGCAGCCTCCTGGCCTGGGGGTAAGGGGCTGCTAGGGAGGAGCTCAGAACTGTTCACAGATTGCTCCCTTCCCTGCCCCTCCTCTGGGGCTCCAGCCGACTCTCAGGAGCTGGCAGGCTAGACTAGACCTTTCTTCCCTCTCCTTGCTTCTCCCCACCCCTTCTTCCTGTTGGTCCCAAGTTCCTCCTCCATTCCCATTCCCCTCCCCACGCTTCCCCTTCTCACCTGGAAATGGACACCCTATGCTGCCACTCCAGGGGTCAGGGATCCCGCTCCCACAGCCAAAGGCTCGGGGCTAGATAAAAGCTGCAAGCCATGCAGCATTTACCAGCCTGTAATCCCAGGGGCCGGGGAGGCTGAGGCAGAAGGATCATCACAAGCCATTTTGTGCGACCCTGACCAACTAGGCTTAGTAAGACCCTTTCTCAAAAAAAGGTAAAACATAAAAAGAGCTGGAGGTGTAGGACGCTGGGAGAGCCACTGAACTGACCTTTCCAAGGTGCTCATTCCAGCAGGATGCTCTTTCAGGACACTAGCCCTGCCTCCTGCCCTGCAACCCAGGCAGGGGCCACACACTGGGCCCAAAAGTGAGAACCAGTGTCCCCTCTGCATGCCTTAACCTTAGCTCCAACAGGAAGCTGCAGAGGACAAGGAGCTCAGGTCAGGGTGGGTCGGATATGGGAGTGTCCAATGAGAAGCAGCAGTTAGGGGACAGAGCCATATAACCAGAGGCCTGCCGGCAGGGCCATCTGAAACCCCCAGGAAGTGGGCCAGTATGTGTGAGGCCCTGGGTTCCATCACCAGTACCGAGATGGTGGAACACACTCACACACACACACACACACACCAATACCGAGATGGGGAAACACACACACACACACACACCCCAATACCGAGATGGGGAAGCACACACACACACACACACACACACACCAACACCGAGATGGGGGGAACACACACACACACACACACACCAACACCGAGATGGGGGGAACACACACACACACACACCAACACCGAGATGGGGGAACACACACACACACACACACTCACACTCACGCTCACACACACAGAGCTGCTAGACACCATCAGCAGCAATACCCCGCGCAGCAGCCCGACGCCCGACGGGCGGGGCGGGGCGGTGGGCAGGCCTCCGCTGGGCCAATGAGCGCGCAGAGGCCGCGGGCGGGCGCCCGGAGCGCAGGACGAGCTAGGCGGGTGGGCGGGGCGAGTGCTCCCTGGGGGCGGAGCGAGGAGGTGGGCCAGGCCTCGGGGGCGGGAAGAGCCCGTCCCAAGTCACCCCGAAAGGGCGGGCCAGGGCTCACCCCGGAAGGGTGGGTGTCCGGGTCACCCCGAGAGGACTCATCCCCCCAGGCCGCGCCTGAGCTCACCCGGCGGAGCAGGTACCCGAGCTCATTAGGGCGAGGACAGGTGCTGAGCCCCGAACCCGCACCAGGTCGAGGCTCTGCCCGCGATGCGCCCACACGTGCGTGCGTGCGAGTGCGCGGCGGGCTCCCGCAGACCCGGGCACCCGGGATGGGCAGGGCAGCGGGCGCAGCCGCCCCGCCCTGGGCTGTCTGAAGAGGAAGGCCGCCCAGGGCCCGACTCTAGTCGCATAGGTTGGCAAAACTTTGGAAAAACCTCAGTGGGCCACAAAATCCCCTTCCCGCCGGTGGTGGGTCAGGAGAGGGGGGACAGCATCCTGCTGTGGGAGGTGAGACAGAGCTGCCCTACTGGGGGCCTGGAAGGCAGAGCCGTGACTCCTTGCTTCTACCCAGAACCATTCCAGAAGTCCCCGGGGCTCTGGCTGGAGCCCCTGGCAAAGAAGGGCACTGTGGGCCTAGGGAGGCCTCTGGCACAGCCAGCCCCGTGCCCACAGGAAGCCCGGCCTGAGCAGCAGTCAGCAACCACCCTGGGCCTCGATTTCCCTTTAAACCCCTGGGGCCTGGCCCAGCTGCAGGGCAGGGGTCACCCTTGTCTTCCCTCCTGTGGAGGCCCGTGCTGGAGACCGGGAGTTTTCAGATGTGTGGAGGAGGGAAACCCGACTGGCTCTCCAAGGTCAGGTGGCTGGAGGGCCCAGGGTGGGAGTCTGTGGTCTGCAGTCTGCAGCGCTGTCCTCTTGTCCTCTCCCCTAGGCTGTTCTGCCCGCCTCCAGCCTGGTGACTCAGCACCCGCACCCGGAGCAACCGGACTTTTGCCCCTTGACCGCTCCCAAGGCTCTGCCAGCGTCCTGTTGGATCCCTCCCTGGCCTCCCTACAGCGCCAGCCCAGGATGCAGGGAGCCGCGGCCCCCAGGGGCCAAGGCCGATCCCCCAGCAAGAAGGACACTCTGGGTCTGCCCTGGGTAGTTCCACTCACCTACGTGCTGGCCGCCCTGGAGCTTACCTGCCTCTTCATGCAGTTCTCCATCCTGCCAGTGAGTAATGCCCCCAGCAGGCCAGAGGTCCCTCACTGCCCCGCCTGCCATCCAGGTGGGTGGTAGCAGGGAGCCCAGGTGGTGCTTGATGCTGCCAGGCTCCTCCCACTGGGGACCCCTTGCCACATGAGCTGAATAAAGTGAGGGGCCCAGGAACTGCTCCTGGTGACCCCCATCAGCATGTGCTGTGCTGTCTGCCTGCTGCAGCAGCCCTGGACAGAGCCTCAGGGAGCCACCCCCACTGCCCTCCCGGCAGCACGCCCTGCACGTGACTGTCCCAGCCCTGTGCCTGCTGCCCCCCACCTGGGGCCTTTGCCCTGTCCATCCCCTGCCTGACGCCTACTCAGCCCATGTCCTGGTAGTGCAGGCCTCTGGGTAGGTCACCCCCTCAGAAAGGTCCCCACAGCGGCCTGCACCTTACTGTCATGTTCCCAGCAGGCTCTGTCCTGCTCCATGTTTCCTGTCCCACTTACTGGACATTTTTGCCGTTTGTTTTTCTCCCCGACCAGAATGTGAGGGTGGCGATTGCCAGGGCTGGTTTCCTCAACTCAGCCTGGCTCATGGCAGGTGGCTACGCCGTCACTATTGGCTGCCAGGTGCCACCCCCCTCCCACCTTCTCTTCATTCCCACTTTTCACTCTTGTTTATTCATTCGACAAACCCTATGGAGGCAGCCCACAGGGTCACATCTTCCATGGGCAACAGCGCCCAGGGAGTTTGGGAGAACCCAGAGACCCTCCGGGCTCTTCTCCGTCTCGGTGATGGTCAGTTTCTGTTTGAAAGAGGGGATTGGGTCCCCTAGATGCTGTGAACTGCAGTTCTTAAAGGCAGATAAAGCTGGGCTTGGTAGTGCACGCCTGTGATCCCAGCTACTCGGGAAGATGAGGCAGGAGGATTGCAAGTTCAAGGCCAGCATCAGCAACTTAGCGAGGTCCTGTCCGAAAATTAAAAAAAAGTAAACAGGGCTGCAGGGCGTAGCTCAGTGTGCCGTGGGTTCAGTCCCCTACGAAACACACACAGTCACAAGTTCCCATGGAGACTCTCGAGGCCTGGCTCCCTGAAGCAAGGTGCTGGTTGGCTCCGTGCTGGGCTCAGGTCAGGGCCCACCCAGTGTGCTGTTGGCCCCAGGCTGGGCAGAAATGAGGTCCTAGGGCCCACAGTGGTCGTGACTGAGGCCAATTCCCCACTCATGGTGTCCCCAAAGAGGCTCAGGGACTCTTTGGAACAAAGTTACATATCACCAAAAAGCCAGGCTGAGTCAGGGCCGCCCCAGAGCCTCTACCCCCGGGAGGCCCACCGGGGCCCAGAGCGTTCCTGCACCTTGCCCTCCCTCCAGGCCTGGGGGTCTGGGTGGGAGTGAGCGTTGATTGGCCCGTGTCGCTATTCTGGGCATGGGGGGCACTCCGAGGACCCCTCCCACCAGGCCTCCTGAGCCCAGCTCACGCCCTGCGGATGACCTGGGTCCAGCCCCGAGCCCCACCCAGCAGCAGGGCAGCCTGGGCAGGTTCTAAAGAGATGGTGGCTGCCCCTTACTAGCAAGGCTGCTTCAAGGAACAGGAGTGAGCCTGTGAGCCCCCAGAACAGCCCACACAGCAGGGCACCTGCCAGCCTCCTAGAGCTCTCCTCTCACGGGAGGACAGTTGTCCAGCCAAGTCTGTGTTGAGCACCCACGAGCAGCCCCTCTTCCTGAACTGGACAGCAGAGCCAAAAGACCACATTCCCATCCGGGAGCTGGGGGCACACTGTGTGCGTCCATCACAGCAAACGTCAAATTCAGTGGTGCAGTAGGGAACAAGTGGTAGCATGCTGGAGAGACAGAACCTGAGGACATGTGGCAGTTTGGGGGCCAGGAAGACTTCACTGAGAAGACAGCATTGATGCTTAGGCTCAAAGGAAGCAGGTGAGGCACAGCCAGTGCAAAGGCCCTGGGGCAGTGGTGAGATTCCTGCATCTGGAGAGGAGTGGACAGACGGCAAGGCCAGGGAGGGCCATGTCCAGGAGATACTCTGAGGACTCAGGGATGGCTGTGGGGGAGTGTGGATCTGGATCTCCCACTGATGGACTGGATATAGGAGGTTTCTGAGAGAAGGGGAGTCACGAATGGCACTGAGAGCTTGGGCCTGAGCCCTCGGGAGGATGGAGGCGTCGGCAATGGAGAGGGGAGAGGGGGCAGCTACAAGAGGAGCCAGCTTCGCACGGGTTGCACTGAGGTGGTTTCAGACAGCAGAGGAGGGGCCAAGGGAGCAGCACTCTGGGGGGAGCAGGAGGCAGGGGTGAGAGGAGGAGGAGCAGGTGGAAGGCCGCAGGGCCAGAGGCGGTGGGGGGACTGTCCATCAAGCTCACGGAGACATCGGGTAGAGGGCAGTTCAGCCCTCGCCATCCGGAGTGTGGGGCACTCAAGCAGCCTGTGATGCCCCACAGGGGCTTCAGGGGACGTCCAGGGTTTGAGGCAGGAGAGGCAGGGTACTGGCCTTTGGAGGCCGCAAGTCTGAGGTCAAGGGGTCAGCAAGGCCAGGTCCCCCTGGCCCTCCCAGGGCCTGGCTGCAGCTGCCCCTCCAGGCTGTGCGTCCCTCTTCATGTATTTCATGTGGTCATCCCTGTGTGTCTGTGTCCACAAGACCCTGCTGACAGGGCAGCAGTCAGCGGAACTAGGGCCCACCCTGATGTCCTCATTTGAACTCGACTGCCTCCAAATAAGGTCACATTCTGAAGTGCCAGGATTAGGGCCCCAACATGAATTCAGCCATCATTCTGGAGGACGGGGCGGAACCCAGGGAGGGAGGGGGTCTTAAAGTCAGAGAATTAGGGCAGGCGGGTCTGGGGTCCCAGGGACTCCTCGGGTGCTCTGGAGGGGCGCTCCCATGCCCTGTTCCTCCCCCAAGGGCATCCTCCCCGAGGGGCTGAGGACTGAGAGCCTCACAGAGCACACTGTGCCTTACTGGGCAGCACACCACCTCCTGTGTCATTAAGATGCTTGGGACACTCTTGGCAGGACAATGTGACTCCACAGAGCCTTGGGTGAAGCAAACAGCAGGTGCCTGTCCATGCCCCACCTGAAGTGTGTCCTGCAGAGGGGAAGGAGGGCCAGCAGCGCCTTCACTGGGCCTGCATCCTGAGGGCCACTCAGATCCCACCTGGGGAGGGCGGGCAGGGTCACCTCCAGCTTCCTCCCACCCAACCCAGGCTCGTCCTTCATCCCCTGCCCATCCAAAGGCCCAGGACTCCAAGTCCTTCCCATGGGGCCCCAACTGTGTTTCAGTATTTGTCCCGGAGCCTGGGCCTGGATTCCGTCGCCTTTGGCTACCTGCAGACGACCTTCGGGGTGCTTCAGCTGCTGGGCGGGCCGGTGTTTGGCAGGTACAGAGAAGAGGGGGATGCCTGTGTCCCTTCACCCAGGCCCTCTCCTCGGAGGCCATGAACTGAGTCCTGCCAGGTCCCTTGAGCTCACACTGGGCCATGAAATGTGGCATCACCATTTTTCACAGAGAAGCAAACTCAGGTGCTGAGGTGCTACGGTCCCTTGTAGGTTCCCAGGGGCCCCACCTGTGACATCCACTTATGTCCAGAAGGAAGATTTAATTATTGAGGGTATCGTGTCTGTCCATGCCGTGTGCAGTGAGCTGGGAGTCCCACCATCAATCTTAGCAGGCAGGAGCTGCAGGGACACATGGCCCTGGGTACCCTGAGCCCCCGGGTCAGGATGTTAGAGGAACACTAGGCTGGGACAGCAAACACACACACACAGCTGTCTTGGTGACAGTGGCACAGAACAGTGGGCCCGAGCAGCACAGGTGGCCAGAGGGAGCAACTTTAGGCAGAAAGAAGGGACACCCACCCAGGCAAACAGCCGCATTCTGTACAGCCTGTAGGTTCCACCACTTTCCCAGGGGGTCACTGTCCCCCTGGGCCAGACATGCCCCCACTCCTACCCCACCCTCTCACTGCAGCCAGACCTGCACAGTCCCACTGGGACGATGGGAAAACTGAGGCCCAGGAGGTCCCAGGCCTGCCCAGGAGGAGGCCTGCATCCCCCGGGGCAAGCCTTCCCCGCCACCCAGCGCCCGCCTCTGACCCGCCCCGCGCAGGTTCGCAGACCAGCACGGGGCGCGCGCGGCGCTCTCGCTGTCCTTCCTGGCGGCCTCGGCTCTGTACCTGCTCCTGGCGGCCGCCTGCAGCCCAGCCCTGCCCGGCGTCCTCCTGCTCTTCGCCTCCCGCCTGCCTGGAGCCTTCATGCACACGCTGCCCGGTAGGGACCCGCGCCGAGGGTGACGTGGGGGCGTGGCTTGGGGGCACATCGGGGACGTGGGCGTGTGGCCCGGGGGGTAGATCCGGGAGGAGGGGACGGTGGGAGTGTGACCGGGGCCGGCCCGGGGTGGAGGGGTGGGGCGGACCGAGCGGAGGGGTCCTGGGAGCGTGGCCTGGGGGGCAGGGCGCAGCACCCCGCTCAGCCGCGCTCTCCCGCAGCCGCCCAGATGGTGGTCACCGACCTGTCTGCGCCGGCCGAGCGGCCCGCGGCCCTGGGCCGGCTGGGGCTGTGCTTCGGCGTCGGCGTCATCCTCGGCTCCCTGCTCGGCGGGACCCTGAACTCCGCGTGCGGGTGAGTGACGGGCGGGAAGCGCTGGGTTGGTGCCCCGGGCTCCGCCCGCCACTTCCGAGGGCCGCGGCTTCCCTGCCTCCCTCGCCGCGGGTTGGGGCGTCCTGATGCGGCGTGGCCGCCAGGGGGCGCCGTCGCCCCGCGCGGAAGCCTCCCTCCGGTGCCGCCCAGTCCCTAAAGACACCGTCCAGGGAGGCCCTGGCCACCAAGAGACGGGAGGACAGGGGAGACACATCTGGCCCCTCTGTGGACTGGGCACTTCTGCCTCCTCAGTCTTAGGAACTTTCAGCCGGGAAGAATCCCTTTCCAGTCGGTCTCAGGAGGCTCTGAGGGTGGCCATCCCCAAGGAGGGGACTGTGGCAGGGGCCCCTTTGAGTGGGTGTGGGAAATGGGGCTCGGAGGCAGGAGGAACCCTGGTCTGCTGCCAGCCTTTGCGTGCCTCAGTTTCCCCTCCTCTAGAACTGAATCCTGGCAGCGGCTCACAGGCTTGTGAGGAGCTTAAAGGAATTCATGTCAAGGCCTCTGTCCCCACCCCATCTGTGCACACAGGCCCTCCTAGGCCCTGTCCTGCACCATTCAGTCTGCTCAGTGCCAGTGCTCAGGGCTCAGCATCTGTGGCATGAGTTCCTGCCAGGTCTGCCTGGCCCCCTGCAGTGCTGTGGACAGGCCATCGACACCCACAGCCCTTGGTGGGCCTCTTGGGACCAGAGCTTGACCTTGTCTAGCACACCTGGACCTGGAGAGGCTCCCCCTGCAGCCCCACCCATTCCTCCTTCCCCCCAACTCCTGCAGCCCTCAAGCCAGTTTCCATCCTGGCCAAGCCACCGGTTTGGGTCTGGGTGGTGCTGGGTTCGGGGCTCCACCCAGCAGGGGTGGAGGCTTCTACCTGCTCCCTGGCCAGAGGAGCCTCCAGGCCAGCAGGTGGCCCACCCACCCTCCACAGGCCTGCAGGGGCCACCCTGGCTCTCCTGGGACGGAGCCTTCCTGGTGGCAGACCCCTAAGCTGTGGGGCAGGCACTAGGTCACCTCCAGTTTTTCCAAACTTGGGTGAGCGGCGCCACGCCCTGGACTTGGGATCCTTGGTTTCCCCAGGCCAGGCACTGCCCAGGGATCCCACGTGCTCCCAAACAAGCCCAGGCAGTGGTAGAGACAGCAAGGTAATGATCGAGCCCCAGGACTGGGGCAGCAGCCGGCTGGTCCCTTTTGCAGGAAGGGCTCTAGGTATGGCCCCGGGGCTTGTTCAGGCCCTGGGAGTCCTCCCCGTGTTCCGTCAGAGCCTGAGTCTGTTTACTCCCTGATGTTTATTGGACACCTAATAAGTGCCCCTGTGATTCCAGGTGCTGGGACGCATTGGGGAGCAAGACAGGCCAAGTCCCTCATGTCCATGGTGTTCTAGGTCAGGTAGCACCATGTGGTATAGAAAGGAAGAAACCAAGGCTGGGTGGGACTCAGCGGCTGAGCCCTCGCCTAGCACATGTGGGCCTTGGGCTTCATCCCCAGCTCTGAAAAGAGGAATAAACCAGGACCAGGAATAAGAGAGATGGATGGTCACCAGGGACTCTCCAAGGGGGTGACCTGTGAGCAGAGACCTGAGCAGGTGCAGGCAAGCAGCAGGTGCAGAGGTGCTGGGTGCAGGCAGGTGAGGAGCCCTTGGTCCAGAGGCCCGAGGAGAGTGGCAGCTGGACCACACAGCTGAGTGGTGGTGAGCCCTCGGCAGGGACACAGAGGCGTGGGAGGTGGCTCCTGCACCATCCGTTGGCCACAGGGAGAGGGCAGCTTTGGCCTGCTTTGGTGATGGGTGGGAGGAGGGTGCAGACACAATGCCAAGGCTATGCCCTAACTCGGGCTGGCCCCGGGCGGCCCGAAGCACTGTGGGGGTTGAGTCTTATTCTAGCTGGGTGCCTTGGGCCTCAGGCAGCTCTGGCCTAGGCAGCCAGATGAGGGACTGTGCAGCCGGGGAAGGGGAAGGGGCTGTCTTCCAACATGAGGGCGCTGGGTCCGCACCTCTGGCACTTGGCATGTAGGACAAGAAGACAGCAGAGGGCCAGGTGGTGCTTAGGGGGCACTCATGGCTGCCAGTGGCCGAGGAAGCCCTGGCCCAGTAGTGGCCAGAGTGCTTCTGTGCAGCAACAAGGGCCCCAAGTTCTGACTTCCAAAGGAGGCCAAGGCTGCCGAGGTGGGCTCTGCTCAGGGGGGGAGGCACCCCTGGGAAGGACCCCGGGGAGCAGGACAGGGAGCAGGAAGGGCTGGCTGACCTGGGGCTGGGTAGCCTTCCTGGGGGTCTTCCTGGGGCCTGGGGTCAGGGTGCACATGCAGGGCAGCCCTGGTGGGGCAGCAGGAAGACACAGAAGGAAGGCAGGTATGGGCCAGGCATGAGGGGAGCCAGTGGGGGGCAGGAGCTGGTCACTGCTGCCTCTGAGGGCCAGTCTCTCAGGGCAACTAGGGTGAGGAGAGGCATGGAGGGGATGCAGAGGGGACCCAAGCAGGTATCAGGGCTGGGAGGAGGGCCCTGTGGGATGCCACCCACTCGGGGACACAGCCCAGACAGGTGGGGTCACCTCAGGGCCATCAGCAGGGGCCCCTTACCTCGCCAGATTTTCTCACCTGTGAAGTGGGCCCATCAGCCTGCACTGGCTGAGGAGTGCTTCAGGGGGTCCCCACGTGCAGGGCAATACCGGGGCTGAAGGTGTGTGGGAGCAAGTGCACCCACACAGGCTCCGCCGGCCGCCTCACCTGCCTGGCCCCCCATCCGTTCCCTGTTCTTTCACCTGTCCTTTCTGCATCCCAGCCCCTGAGCTAGAGGACACTGCTCACTTCCCACAGCTCCCCAAGATGGCTGCCACTCTTGCCCCCACTCCCAGAACATTCCATCAGCCTCCTTGCTTGCTGAGGATCTGAGGCCCTTTATAACCTGACGTTTATCTGTAACCAGGTCAACCTCCACACTTCCTTTGATGGGGGGAAACAGGCCCAGGAGCGGGGGGTCCAAGGCCCAGGGCTGGGGGGTGTGCAAAGTGCACTTGGGGACCTACAGTCTTCATGCCACACTGGAGACTCCGGGTGCTGCGGGGCCCTCAGGCCAGAGCTGCCCCTCCAGCCCCCTGCGCTGGCTGTCCAGAGTAGGGAGAGAGGGTGGCTTGACTCTCAGCTCTGCTCTTGTTCCTTCCAGAGGGGGCTGGCCAACCGTCCTCTGAGCCACGCTGTCCACCAGGGTCCACACAGCTGTGGGTGGCCTTGTCTCCCAGTGGTGTTACGTGGTCCCATTCCCACCTGGGGGCCGGGGAGGTGGGCTGCAGGGCCTGGATGCTGTCTCCCTCCTTCAGGCCACCCCATAACCCCGAAGCCTGCCCTGGGTCACTGACAGCCACACCAAGCCTGTCCTCCCCTCCCCCTGATAGAACCAAGTAGGATGTGGAGACCCCTTGGCTGCCATCTCGCTGCCCATCTGGGTGCCTTCTGCCCCTGAAGGGTCCCAGGCATGCCCCTTCCCTGCCGCCCAGACACAGAGGGAGGAGGAAGTGGCCCTGGCATGGGGCCTGTGGGAGCAGGCACCGGTTTAACTGGTTTGGGCTCAGCCTTGAGCTCAGGGTTGGGAGGCCAGGCTGCCCGGAGGTGGGGGGGCGGGGACTGAACCCAGAGCCAGCACACCAGCAGGTGGATGTGGTTCTGTGACTCATGGCCTTGAGTCCCTGCCTGGGGACGGCCCACAGGCCTCCGGGACCCAGCACAGGTTCATGGAGCCTGCTGTGTGCCTGCCTCCAGTCCAGGCAGGCCCTGGGCCACAGCGTGGAGCTGCCCGGTGTGCAGGTGGCCACCCGCCAGGCGGCAGCACATGAGACATGGGGTCCTGGCAGCTGGGATGCAGCCCTGCGGGCAGAAGAAGCAAGGGGCCAGGGTGACTGGAGCCAAGCAGGGGAGGGACAAAGGCCAGAGGGAGGGGGAGGGCAGCGAGGATTCTGCCTTTGCCTGAATGTCCCAGGGGGCCACCAGCGCCAAGCACAGGGCCGAGGGACCCAGTGATGTTGGCTGGAAGATCCCTGTTGATGTGGGGTGGACCTCAGGGCAGGTGGGTGCTGCTGGGGGTGTTGTTGAGGCTACGGGCTGAGAGGTGGGTGAGCCGAGAAGGGGTCAGTGCAGCCTGAGCAGAGGTCAGCCCCGGGCCCAGTTGAAGATAGAGCCAAAAGGGTCTGCTGAGGGTGGGTGTGGGCTGTCTGGGAAGACCCCCGTCTGGCCTGAGCAACCGGAAGGAGATGGAGCAGGGAGACTGGGAGTCCAGTGTAGGACGTGTTGGGCTTGAGGCACTCTCAGAAGTTCCTGTTCAGTGCTGAGGGGCAGGGAAGAGGGCCTGGCCATGAAGCTCTTGATCTAGGAAGCAGCTACGTGGAAGGGGCATTGGCAGACTGCAGCCCCCAGGCCAAGTCCAGGCTGCCCCCTGTGGAAGGCGAGGCCCCAGTGGGTCACAGCTGCACCTGCCTGTTCACATGTGGCCACCCTGTGCTCAGGCAGCAGGGTGCATGGGGCTAGGGCCAGCCAGACCAGCGGAGGACGGAGCTGATGTATTACAGTAAGCTTGGAGTGCGTGGCTAAGGTGGGGGACTTCCCTGATCCCCAGGTCAGGGCTGGAGGACACCCGCCCTTGCCTCCAGGAAGGACACTCGGTCAGTGAGGGCCACACAGTGAGTCACAGCCCAGGACTCCTGCCTCAGCCCCCAGAGGGCTCTGCCCACCTAGAAGCAGTCAGGTTTGAACACACACCACTGGGCTAGCAGGAATCCCAGTGCTGGACGCTCCGCGGACGCTGCACAGCTCTGAAGGTCAGGCTGCCCCGAGATGAGCACCAAGTGGCTGGTGTGATCCTAGCCCTGAGCTGTACCCATGGAGGCCTCCGGGTGACTCAGCACACATTTTCTCACACCTGAGTGGCCCCTGGGACCTGGGTGTGGGCGAGGGAGCGGGGGCCCCTACCCTGCTGACCGGTGTCCCTGGAGGTTCATGGGTAGCCGTCCAGGCCGCTGGGACAGCGGAGACAGGAGTGACTCCGGCACAGCAGGCGGCGGCAGACCCACAGCTCACCTGGGCAACGCTGCTGATGGCCAGGAGGGAACCAGGCCCGCGGGGAAGGACAGAAGGACCTGGTGTCCTGAGTGCTGAAAGCACAGGGACAGGGCAGGAGAGGCCAAAAGGGACCAGCTGCGGGGGCCACCTGAGAGGAGGAGGCACAGAGGAAGGAAGATGGCGGAAGGGCCCTGGGCAGGAAGCTCTGGTGGGTGGCTGGAGGCCTGAGGGGTGGAGGGAGCAGGCCTGGAGTGTCGGGCCAGAGAGGGCTCGGACCTCTTTCTGGGTCCCTGGAAGCCAGAGTGTGTGTCAGAAGTGACCCTGCAGGATGGCCTGGTTGCGACAGCACCATAGGGTGAGGGCCGGTGGGGAAGGGGCTTCGCCCTGGGCCCCAGGGCTCTCTGGACCCCCTGTCTCTGCTCCTTTCAAGACAGGTGCCATAAGAATTTGGGTCCCAGCTGACTCCAGCCTGGGACATGAGGCAGGTGCACAGCAGGGACCCTGAGCGGCACGTGGAGTGGGGTGCACAGCAGGGCCTGAGCCACAGCGGGCAGCAGGGGTCCTGTTGGAGCCCAGGGCCAGTTGGCAGGGGCACCGGCTTGGTGAGCTGCTGTCTTCCCTCCCAGGCAGGCTCCCAGAGTCGGGCAGAGGGACGGAAGGGGCAGAGCCTGAATGGGGGAGGCGGGCCCAGGCCGCCCGCTCCTGATGAAGTTGGCAAACTCTGGCCCTGGAGATAAGGATGAAAGGCCCGTGGCTGCTGCTGTTTGCCTGAGGTGTGGCTGCGGGTGCCAGAGGCCTCTCGGGTGGCTGGCAGGCAGCATGGGGGATGGAATGGCTTCCAGGACAGCCCTATTGTGCCCCTGATGGAATGAGGTCACCCAGCAAGGTAGCCAGGGAAGGACTGGGTAGCCAGATCACCGAGGCCTGCCCATTGCCCTTCCAATACACCTGTCATCAGCCTCCTGTTCCTGTATTCACCCAGAAGAGGGGGGCTAGACAACCCAATGATCTAGGAAGCAGCTACGTGGAATGGGCATTGGCAGACTGTGGCCCCCAGGCCAAGTCCAGGCTGCCCCCTGTGGAAGGCGAGGCCCCAGTGGGTCACAGCTGCACCCCCTGTTCACATGTGGCCACCCTGTGCTCAGGTGGCAGGGTGCATGGGGCTAGGGCCAGCCAGACCAGCAGAGGACGGAGCTGATGTATTACAGCTAAGCTTGGAGTGCGTGGCTAAGGTGGGGGACTTCCCTGATCCCCGGGTCAGGGCTGGAGGACACCCGCCCTTGTAGAAGGCGAGGCCCCAATGGGTCACACAACCTTGGCTCAGTTTATACATTAAAAAAAAAAAATCATAGAATGACCACATGTGGTGGTGCAGGCCTGTAATCCCAGAGACTTGAGAGACTGAGGCAGGAAAACTTCAAGTTCAGGCTCAGCCTCGGCAACTTAGGGAGACCCTGTCTCAAAATGAGAAATCACGAGGCTGGGGTGTGCTCAGTGGTAGAGCGGTTGCCTGGCATGCGCTAGGCCTGGGTTCCATCCCAGCACCAGAACAGAGTGGACCAAGCCAGTGGGGCCAAGCGCAGCCCAGCGCCCTCCTGGGCCACCTGCCCCGGGCAGATCCGGGGGAGGGCCGTGTGCTGGGGTGCGTGGCCCGCAGGCCCCTGGGACAAGGCCACAGTGTCTGGCGAGGTGCAGAGCTGGAAGGTGCTTCCTGGTGGAGAAGCAGCACGCAGAGGGCCCCGGGCAGGCTGCCCGCCAAATGCCCTGTCACTTCCAGTCTCCTTTTAGGAGGTTTTTTTAAAGATAGAGTGAGAGAGGGAGGGAGGGAGAGAGAATTTTTAATATTTATTTTTTAGTTTTCGGCCGACACAACATCTTTGTTGGTATGTGGTGCTGAGGATGGAACCCGGGCCGCACGCATGCCAGGCGAGCGCGCTACCGCTGGAGCCACATCCCCAGCCCCTTTCAGGCGTTTTGCTCTGGGAAGTCGGAGGGAGCTCTGAGTCGGGAAAAGAATGGCCCTCCTCGGGCTCCCCGGACAGCGGCCCGCAGGGGCTCTGGGGGACTTGGGGGCCTGAGTCCCCCCAGGGCCCACCCAGGTCTCCCAGCACCAGGCCCTCTATCTCCAAGAAAGCCCTGGCCTTTGGCTTGCTGGCCATCACTCAAGGGACACCAAGACATGAGAAGTAGGGACTTGGCCCCCTGCCACCCACCCTCACTTGTCACCAGCTTCCCAAAATAACCATCTGAGGGGCCGCCTCTGCCCTGGACGCTTCCGGGGCATCTGGCAAAGAAAGCAGGTTTTGTCCCTGCCTGGCCAGTCCCCGACAGTGACGTCCGAGCCTCAGAGAACAGAGCCCAGAAGAGAGGCTCCTCTCCGGGCAGCCCTGGTGGGGGTCCCTCTCTACGCACACATCACTTCCTGCCGGTCTCCAGGGCCCGGAGAGGCCCTGCTCTGGGGTCCATTGCCCTCTGACCTCCCTGCCTGCTGGTCGATGAAAGGCCCATCTGTGTGGAACCCTGGCAGCCCGCACGCCCAGCTTCCTGGGCAGTGAGCCTGGGGCCCTGGATGGTGGGGGAGCCCTGCTGAGGACGGTGGGAGCTGACGCTCCCAGCCAGGGAACAGGACTGGCAGAGGCCTGGCTCTGCTCTGTGGCCTCGCTGGCAGCCCCGTCCTTTCCTGCCCCTGGGTTTCGGCCAGAGCTCGGACGCAGGTGTGCCTGTGTGTGCACGTGCGTGTGTACAGACACCTGTGACCCTGGGGAAGGACAGGGGGTCTGACCTGGGAGGAACCCAGGCAGCTCGCGTGTCCCTGTCTGGGGACTCGGGCTCTCCCAGGACCCTGACCTCCCCTTGTGTCTGCACCCTGAGGCCTTGACCAGGGCAGATGTGGGGGCACTGATGAGGGCTAAGGCGGGACTTTGCCCATGTGAATGGCTCTCACACTTGCTTGGGTCTGCACCGGGTTCAGCCTAGGCCCACAGGCCCGCAGGGGCCAGGTTCTGACCATCTGGTGAAGCGAGTTCTGAGACCAGGGCCCTACAGACTGGGTTCAGCTGGGGAGAAGGGCCTGGGCCTCACTGGGATGGACAGGGGTTTGCTACACCGCAAGGGAAAGGTGTCCCAGTCTGGAGGCCGCAGCCTGGCTCAGTGAGGAGTCCTGCTTCAGAGGAGTGGGTGCGCCTGGGCCTTGCAGGACGTGGTGGGGTCGGAGGGCAGTGGGCAAGTCAGGGCCTCTGGGGCGCCCGGCCGAAGCCCTCCCAGACCCAGCATGCCCCAGCCTCTAGGCAGTGGGGAGGGGAGGCGTTTCCTGAGGACCTCTAGGTGTCCGCTGTCCTCCATGCCGAGGGCAGTGCAGCCGTCCTGTGACACAGTGCCAGGCCCCAGGTCGCTGAAGGGTTCTCCGGGGACACACACACCCCAGGCCTGACCTCTGGGGCCTGTCCTGCTCCCCGCTCTGGGCTCGCCTTCTGGCTCTGCCACCCACCCACCCACCCACAGAGGCTGCCAGGCCTGTGTGCCGTGGCAAAGGTCAGGGGTGGCTGGCACTCACCCGCTGTCTGTCACCTCGTAAAGGTGCCCTGGGGTCCTGGTGCCTTCCTCTGGGGCTACAGGGAAGGGTGCTGGCATGGCGTGGCCTCCTGCAGCTCAGGCCTCAGCGTAGCTGCAGGACAGGGCCCGGGCCCTGGGACCCACACACCCTGCAACACCCACCAGGGTCCACTGTCCAGCGATCGTGGCACTTGTGGCCAACCTCCTGGGAGCCATCATCAGTGTCACCTGCATCCCAGCCAGCACCAAAGGGGCCACTGTTGATGTCCAGGCTCCTCCCCCGGGTAAGCCCCACCAAGTCCACCTGCCCAGGAGGCCTTAGAGGGGACACAGAGAGACCTGGGTAAAACCGGGAGTGACATGGAGCGGGGCTGGCAGGCTGCAAGGTCCCTGGGGTCCGAGTGTCCCGGGCAGTGTAAGGGCGCTGGTCCGGGGCTCCATGCACATCTGAGGGCAGCAGGAGGGGCAGAGTGCAGGCCAGGTGAGCTCCTCAGAGGGGACCCCTCGAGGGTGGCCCCCATTAGGCCCTACTTATGCCTGGCATGTGGCAAGACCCCGTGCCTCTGCCCAGTGACTAAGAGGTCAGATGGAGAGACCACCTGGGATAGGGGGCCATGACAGATGGCCAGAGAGGGGCCAGGGCAGGGCCTGGGGTGGGGGCCAGAGGCAGGGAGCAGCCAAGAGCAGCTGGGAGGCCCAGACACTGCTCGGAAACGTCCAGGGGGTCGGGCATGCCCTACTGGCCGTCGCCAGCCCTGGGTCACCTGGGCTGGGAACTGAGGGTCGCCCCTGCTCCTGTCCAGGCCCAGGCCCAGTTACCTGAGCACCTCCCAGAATCCATGGCCCTGTCGGGGTGCTGACTGCACGGTGCCCACCAGCACTGTGAGGGGGACCGAGCCTGCAGTCAACTCCCATTCCTGCCTGGGCCTGGGGAGGGAGCCCTGAAGCCCTGCCCTGCAGCCAGGCCAAGGGCCTCCAGCCTCTGACCAGTGTGCCTGGACAGGTGGACCCAAGGCCAGTGTGTTCGACCTGAAGGCCATCAGCCGCCTGCTCCTGCTGCCCGGCGTCTTGCCAGTCTTCCTCATCAAGGTGGTCTCTGGCTTCCCCTCAGGTCAGTCCAGACCTCCCCTCCCCAGGGCTGCCCAGGGCCTGGTGGGGCCAAGTCCCGGCTCTGGGAAAGGAAGCCCACGGTCGAGGGGCGGCCCCTCCCCCATGCTCCAGGTAGTCCTGGTCAGTCTCACCTTCCCTGGAGACCACAAGGCTCACGCAGGTGTCCCGCTCAGGAGAAGACGGCAAAACAGGTGTCTCCCTCACTTCCCTGCCCCCTGCAGACCCCAGCCCTGGAGGAACCAAGGAGGGGTCACCCGGGGCGGCGCGAGGCCCACAGGCCCCACCTCGCACTCTCCGGCCGTACTGCACCAGGGTTTTCTGTACGTCTGGAGTGAGCAGGTGTTCCAGGGACTCCGTGTCCCAGTCACCTGGGAAATGACATGCAGCCCACGACCACTGCAGGGCCCGTAGGGCAGCACTGGTCACAGTTTACCCAGCCATGGTCGTGTCCAGTGGGGATCCTGTCACTCAGACACTCTGCCCAGTTCTAACGTGGGGTTTCTGAGTGACACCAGCTGCAGGGACAGTCACGGCTGAAGGTGGGCCTCTCCTAAGCAGGAGCCCAGGGCTCGTGTCCCTGCCCCTGGCTGGGGGCCCTGCTGACCGCCCAGGGCCTGCCCCACCCACCCAGGGGCCATGCCTGGAGCCCAAGCCGCAGCTTCCGTGAAGGCCTTTGAGGGCTAGGGCTGGAGTCACAGTGAGGCTCGGGGCCAGATGCTCCACATGGCCGCCCTGGCTCTGCCCGTCTAGAACCTCCCCACTCAGACTGCAGCTGGGCAGTGGGATCCCAGAAAGGGCCTTGGGTCCAGCTGGTGTCACGGGTCCCCACCTGGCCAGGCAGGCGCCCTCCCCGGGAGTCAGAGGGGAAGTGGACGCGGTGGCAAGGCTGTGGGCCTCACCTGGTGGGGCTTACCTGGGGGAGCAGCCTGGACATCAGCAGGGCCCTGTCCACCCGCTCCGCCAGGTCTCTTCATGATCATGTTCTCCATCATCTCCATGGACTTCTTCCAGCTGGGGCCTTCCCAGGCTGGCTACCTCATGTCCTTCTTCGGGGTCCTGCAGATGGTAAGTGGGGGCCCGTGCACAGTGTTGGGTGCCTCAGGAGGGGCCGCCTCCTGCTCTGAGCGCGTCTGCTCCTCCCCTCCCTCAAAGCTCTGCCCCCGCCGCTGCCCCCTCCCCCTGCTCCGAGGCTGGGCTGCACTCAGGCCCCGCAGGGTCAGCCCTGTGTGCCCACGGCCTGCCCACCCAGCCACCACCTGGGTCCTGACAAGAGGGGAAGCAGGGACATGTGCTCCTGTCTTGCAGCGTGTCGGGGTCCATGGGCCACTGAGTGGGCAGCAGACAGGGCGGGGAGGGACTGCAGCTCCCGGAGGTGGTCGTGGTGGGAGGTGGTGGGCTCTGGCTGGGCTGCGTCCTGCCCTCTGGCCCCCAGCTGCTCCTGATGGGTAAGTGAGGCTGACCATGGTGCCCACCCCGCAGGGTCTGAGCACATGCATGGACTGAGGCGGAAAGCCCCCATGGCCACAAGAGCCCGGGACTCACCCGGCTGCTGGGCTGTCCTTGCAGGATGCCACTCCGCTGCAGCACGAGGGTCATGAGGTGCCCCTAGAGCAGCTTGAGGTGGGGAACAGGCATCTGTCAGCCCATGGCCATCCCTACCCAAGCCCAGCTCCCCCAACCCCAGAACCTCCTGGGCATCTAACCGGACCCTGGGGAGTGGACACAGGTGGTGACAGGCCCCACACCCTCCCGGCCAGGGCCAGGGACGGCCTCCTGACAGCAGGCCCAGGGAGGGGCTATTCTGGGACTGGAGTGGGAGGGGGCGCTCGGCCTCTCCGGAAGCCTGTGGCATTCCTGGCACCTCCGAGCCACCTGCTCTGCCTCCAGGCCCAGGCTGGCCTAGCCCTGGTACTAAATTAGCCTCTCTCGGGAGGGGCTGGCCCTGCTGTGGGCGAGGAAGGCCCCTGCTCTGGGGCCGCCAGGAGGGCCGCTCTGGTGGAAGCCCAGCCTCAGGAGGTCGCCCCAGGAGCCTTGCCCTGAGGGACCTTCCCTCCTGCCTGGGGCAGCCTCCCTGGGGACAGACACTGGCAGCTGTGGCCAGCGCTGGGGCAGGGGCCGAGCAGGGCTGCAGTGAGTTCAGAGGGAGGACGGTGGCCTGGGTGGGGCAGGAGCCAGGCCTGAGGCAGGCATGCAGGCCCCCGGCCCTGGCTGGGTGCTGAGGCCTGGGCCTGGTGTCTGCCACCTTCTTGAGGCGTTCCCTGACCCCATCAGGGTAGGTGGGCATCCAGAGCCCCTGAGCTCCAACAGCTGGTCCTCTGCCTGTGGCTCCCTGCAGATCACGTCCACCCTAAGCTGCGGCCCAGAGGAGGCCCAGCGTCCCAGTGGGTGCTGCTTCCAGTGTGGGGGGGCTGGGCTGGGCACTGGAGGAGTGGCACCCACACACCCTGAGACGAGGCGTGGGTCGTGACCCTGACTAGCTTGCAGACCTCCATCCCTTAAAGACCCTTGGAGAGAGACCTCCCTGTGGCCCGGCCACCTCCCCCTGACCCACAGCTGCCCCCAGGCACTAGTCATTTGGAGAGGGCCGGGAGAGGATGCACAGAGCAACTGGGGTACCAGGTGGGACTGTCAGTGATGGGGAGCGAGGCGCCCCCACCCCACTGGGTGATACCCCAGGTCGTGGGTACAGAGAGGAGAGGGCATCGGAAGTGGCGCTGCTCTAGGGAGGCGGTGGGGGGGGCTGTGTGGGAGCACCCCAAAAAGTGAGGGGCCTCAGGACATGTGGGTGTCTGTAGAGCAAGGCCTAGGGAGCCAGCCAGAGAGGACGCTCACGGCGGAGCGTGATGTGCCAGTCCGCGTGCAGGAGGGACTCCTCTGCTTCGGCCACTGTGTGGAGGAGGGTGAGCACCCCAGCAGAGATGCGTTGGGGTCAGGCGACCATCTGGGGTCATGTGGACAGGCGGATGGGTCAGCTAGCAGCTGGGAGGGTGAGGAAAAGGGAGTCCAGCTCTGGTGACACTCTGAAGGTCCTTCGGAGGCCGTGGAGATGGGCCCTTGGGCTTGCTGAGGGTTTGGGTGGGTCTGGGTGCTGCCGGGAGAGGCCTCTACCTGGTGGGCCGCGCCTGGTGCTGAGGTCTGACTGACGCACGCCCAGTAGGTCTTCCTGTGAAAACTAAGGGAACCTAAGGCTGAAAGTAGATTGAGGGACATGGGCAGCTCCGCCGGAAGCAGTGAGCCCTGCCAGGCAGAGGGCGGGCTCCCCAGGCTGGGCCGGCCCCACCGCCCAGGCCCTCCTGGCCCCCGCTGCCCCTGCAGCCCCATGCCTGCCGCCTCCCTCCCCTCCCGGCCTCGCCCGGCACTTCCTGCAGGTGAGGGAGCGAGGTGGCCAGATAGGCAGCCGCGCCCTGGCTGGGAGTGGCCTGCAGGCTGCCCTGGTGTCCCTGGTGTCCCTCCCTGGGGCAAGCTTTCCTTCCATCCCAGCAGGAGCCCATCTCCCCTTCAGATGGTGAGGGGCCATTTCTGAGAATGGTGCCCAGCCAGCCTGGGGGGCCCTGACGCGAGACTTAGGCCACAGTCCAGATCCTCTGGCCCTCTCCCATGTCCGCCTCTACCCCCACCCTGCCTAGGTGGTCCAGGGCCTGGTCATCGGGCGGCTAAGCAGTCACTTCTCCGAGGAAGCCCTGCTCCGGGCCAGCGTGCTGGTCTTCATGGTGGTGGGACTGGCCATGGTAAGAGTGCCCACTTTGGATCTCCCCACAAAATAGGGGGTCCCAGGCCAATTCTCTGCCCCTCTGCACCTGGGCAAGGCCACTCCTGGTGCCCTGTCTGTGCCCGAGCCCCAGGGTCTACCTCCAGCCACGTCACGCCGGCCCTCTGGCCCCCTCTTCCCCAGCCCAGCTCTAGGGGGCAGCAGTCAGGGCGGAGAGAGAGGAGCAGGTGCGTCCTCAGCGAGGGCCCACCTGCCCTGTGCAGCCCCTGCTCAGTGTGACCCTGACCATTGCCCCTGCTAGGCGCTGATGTCCACTGTCCTCCACTTCTGCTTCCTGGTGCCTGGCCTGGTCTTCAGCCTCTGCACCCTCAACGTGGTCACCGACAGCATGCTGACCAAGGCTGTCTCGGCCTCAGACACAGGTGATGCTGCATGGGAAGGGGTGCGGGGGGCCAGCTGGGGAAGGGCGGGCAGGCCCTCCTCCCTGGGAGACTGCTGAGCTGCCTAGTGGGTGGGCAGCGGACCAGGCAGCCTGGGACCTGAGGGGGTGGCAGCAAGAGGGATCAGGTGAGAATCTTGCCCACACCCAGCCCTGCACCGGGCCCTGCTGACCAGCCCGGGCCCAGCTGGGGGCGTGGGGGACGGCTTGGCTCAGCCCGGCTCAGACACGGCAGGATCACACTGAAGGAGGCGGGTGGCTGCACTCCAGGCAGGGCGTGTGCGGAGGTGTGGACCCAAAGGCCCTGCCAGCCAGTCAGGAGGCCCGCCTGGGGACGGAAATGGGGGGGGGGGCAGGGGAGCAGAGCACAGGAGGGCCTGGCCGCCCTCCCTGGACAGGCCAGGGCTCCTCCAGGCTTCCTGAGTGGGCACAGCTAGTGAACCCAGGACTCTCCCAGGCCCGTCTGGACCCAGCTGTCCTTCTGGAGGCCAGGAGTCCTGTGCCAGGCTTGGCCCTGCCCTGAGCTGGCACACGCTGGCTGGTTCAGGGTGCTCCTGTGAGCTGGCTGTGCTAGGCTTGGGCTCCTTCCAGGCATTCCCGGTCGCAGGGCCAGAAAGCTTGAGGGCTGGACCGGCCTTCAGCTGACCAACTGCCCAAGAAGGGAAGACAGGGGTAGCCCTCTTCTGCTGGCCTCCTGGCCTCCTGGGCCTCCAAGCCCTTCCAGGCCTGTGAAGCCATGGTGCTAGGAGAGCCGGTCTCCAAACAGCGGGACCAGGAGGGCTTCCTGGAGGAGGCGGCCATTGGAGAGGCACAAAGGAGAAGGTGACTAAGGCCTGCAGAGAGGAGGGCAGGGCCTGGAAGGGAGGAGCAGGCCAGGCCACCAGGGCCACGTCATGCCAGCAACACCACCCTTTGGCTTGGAAGGAGTAGGACCAGGCCCAGCAGCAGCCTGGGAACGTAGCCGCAGGGAGGCGGTAATCGCCCTGGTGTCTGGGCGTCGTGGGCAGTGGGAGAGGGCACTCTGACATTTCCCCACGCCAGGCCCAGGGCGAGGGAGGGGCCTCCACAGGCCCTTATCCCCGCTGAACTCCAAGGGGCCTGGGTTCAGAAGCCCAGGGCCAGAGCCCCTCTGGGCAGTGGGGAGCGGACGTACCACCCCTGGGACTGGGACCCGGGACCCTGCAGGCCTGGGAGGGGAGTTTCGGGGGCCGAATGCTGTCGGAGGGTGGACAGCAGCCATCCTAGGCATGTCCACCCTGGGACAGCGCCCAGAGGGCGTGGAGACCTGGCAACAGGTGAAAGAGCTGGCTGCTCAGGTGGGGGCTCGGGCAGCGGGGAGCCAGAAGGGTGCTCATTGTCCCTGGGTCCTGCTGTACTCCCTGAAGTCCCTCCCCTGCCCCAAGGGGAGTCCACAGGGTGTCTAGGAGATTCCTGGGGGCGGACAGTGGGAGAAGAGGCAGGTCAGGAGGGGCTGTGGGATGGCACTGGGGTGTTGTGCCCACCCAGAACCCTGCCCCGAGCCCCATGGTGTCTTAGAAGACCCTGCCTGGCCAGCCCACTCAGCCCACTCCAGCCACCAGTGGGCCTGGCCCGGCAGCCCAGGCCCTGGGAAGGAGCGCTGAGAGAGCTCCCGGATGTTCTGGGCGGGGCTGGCCAGGTGCAGGTGCCGTCCCCCTGGGCAGGCCTGGGGGGTGGAGCCTGCACCTGACCTGGGGCCCATCCTCAGCTCCTCCCGCACCAGGGAACTTTCTCGAGTAGAGAAGACTCAGCCCCATATCTGGGGAGGCACCTGTGAGGCCCCTGGGGTCCACAGGCCCGTGGGTGGAGGTGAGGAGCAGGTGGAGGCCCCGGGTGGGGGCGCAGGGCGGGTGATATGGGGTAGCCCAGGCCTCCGGTGCTGCGTGGAGACTGGCTGGGCCTGGAGCTAGGAGTGTCTGGGGACAGGAGTGGGCTGAGCCCAGGCAGTGATGTGCCTGTCCAGGGACCTGCTCAGGGCGTGACGGCTGTCTCCTCTTTCCCCAGGGACCATGCTGGGCCTCTGTGCCTCTGTGCAGCCACTGACCCGCACCCTGGGGCCCACTCTGGGTGGCCTCCTGTACCGCAGCTTTGGAGTCCCCATCTTTGGCCATGTGCAGTTTGCTGTCAACTTCTTCCTCCTCCTGGTCCTCTGGAGGAAGCCCATGACACACAAAAGGGACAAAGCCTGGTGACCAGCCCCAGCAATAAACTTTCCTGGGACCTCCTTATGGCCTGATTCCTGTGGGCTCCCGCCTGCGTCTGTCAGCGGAAGTGGGGGGGCGAGCAAGGGGGCTTCAGAGGCCGAAATGCTGCCCAGGGGAGGGGCCTGCAGCTGACCCCCGAGTTCCAGGCACAGGATAACCCCAGTTCCTCCCAGGGCATTCGTCCAGCCATGGAGTCCACCAGCGCAGCCGGTGGGGAATGCCCTGCTGCCGCTCAGCCGGCTCTCATTTCCCAGAGGCAGGGAGCTCTCTGCCCACCCGGCCTGCAGTGTAGCACCAGGAGCTCAAGTGAGTGGGCTTAGAGGGAAGAATGCCAGGCACAGAGATGCACATCTGTCCAGGTGGCTTGGGAGGCTGAAGCAGGAGGATCACAAGGTCGAGGCCAGCCTCAGCAACTTAGTGAGGCCCTAAGCAACTTACTGAGACGCTGTCTCAAAAATAAAAATGGAGATGCAGCTCAGGGTTAAAGCACCCACAGGTTCCATCCGTTGTACCAAAAAAACAAAAAACCCACACACCTAATTTTCCAGAGCAGTGCACTTGGACAGAAGTAACTGCATCCAACCTGCAGAACAGGGGTACTTGGGGGTATTTGAGTACATATAGTAGGCAAAAAAATTTAAAAAAAAACAAAAGAAAAGATCAAGGAAACAAGTCTTGGAAAGGATGTGTGTTAGGGAGCCCCCAGTGGTCTCCCAATTCCCCCAGCTCCGGAACTGCACCACAGACGCTGGGCTAGCCCATCTCCCCAAGACCCCCACTGGGGGGCATTCCTGGCCACTTGCCCTAGGCCAGGAGGGAGAGACCAAGGGAACGGCACCCCCACTCTCACCACCTGCCCCACACCTCCTGGGATAACAGACATTGGTGTGGGGAGGCCAGCGCTGCTGTGGAGACCAGTTGACCAATTTGAAGACCACCACCAGGACAGGAGACTGAGATGCTACTGAGACCACACAGGAAGCCATTAAAACCTGAAAACCCGAACCTCAGAATTCCAAAGTCCCCACACTGGGAGCGCCCTCAGGGAGACACCTCAGATCACCCACTCCCAGCTGGACCCCGTGCCTGCCTGAACCCTGCCCCGCACAGGGCTCACCTCCTGAGCTTGGTCACTCCTCCAGGTGAGGCTGTGTGGGAGACATCTTGGGGGGCTGGGACACAGTCATTGTGAGGTCCCTGTGCTCTTGTTAGCCCTTTGGAACTCCTCCCGAAGACATACTCAGGAGAAAATTCCTCACAAGGAACAATAATTTCCTCTCTGGAGCCAGCACCCAAGACTCTTGCAGGCCACTCAGCAAACGGACAGCCCCTCCCTAGTTCTGGCCCCCTGAGAAGCCTGAGACCCTCCCCACATGGAGGGTCAGCGGCAGGCATTAGGGCTCAGTTCTGGTCCTCCACTCCCTCACCCTGCCCTTCACCAGGCAGCCCCCCAGCCTGGGAACAGCTGGCGTCTCTTCCCTCTTCCTCTACCCCTCGATCTTACGGGGAGGTGACCCACTTCCTGTGCCCTGCCGGCCAGGGGCCAGGTGGCACCGATTCTCTGCGTTTATTTCATAGAGGACACAGCCAGGTGCAGAGGGAGGAGTTACAGCCCGACAGGTATCCCTGGGAGTGGGCTCTCAGGGCTCCCACCCAAGTCAGTCCTGGGCCAGCCTGCCCCACCTTGGAGACGGCCTGGGAACACGATCCCCACCTGCTGGCCCCATGTCTCAGGCACTGGCCAGGAGGACTGGCAGCTGGACTCTAGAGCCATCATGGTCGGGCCCAGGGTGGGGTCAAGGGGAGTGCATTGGGGCAGGCAGCCAGAAGGCCTTCCTGTTGGCTGGCCACTGGACAGGTGGTGTGTGGGCAAGAGGAGGCAGTTGAGGACAGCCGCCCCTCCCTGTACAGCAGCAGCTCAGGTCTGGGGGAGGTGCACTGGCTTTGGGGACAGGCAGTGAGTGGACTCCCACGGCAGGCATAGCCACCAGTCTTGTCCTCACACCACACCCAGGAGTAGAGGGTAGCCAGGGCCACACCCAAGGCATTTCCTGGCCTCTGGGGAGGCTTTGGACCCCACCCAGCAATGACAATGTTCATTCAAAGCTACTTTCCTGTCTTCTGGCTGGCCAGGGCCGGGACTGCAGCCCTTCCCTCCACCCTCCCAGCAGGAACCTGCCCACGACTGGCTGGTAGAAAAAGAATAAGTCATGTCATTTATTTGGAATGGGCACTTGGTTGCAAAAACAAAATATTAAAGACAGAACGTTTGACAACAAATAACATCAAAATAAATACATAGATAGTCCAATAAGTTAATGCGCCCGCGCAGCGGGGCGAGGTTCCGCACGCACGGGAACGTCCTCCTCTATGGGGCAGGAAAGCGGCGCCTTGTCCTCGCGTGGTCAGCGGGTGTACCGCCCGCCCGAGCTCCCGCCGTCCCGGGCACCCCTTGGGCTCCTGCCCAACACGGCCATGCGGCCGGTTCGGCCAGACTGGTCCGGTGTGGCTCTGTGGGGAGAGGGCTGGGTCAGGCAGGCGTGCCAGAGCGAGTCGGGGGGCAGCTTGTGGGTCCCCGAGATCCTGACGCGAGTGGGGCAAGGGACGGCTCCTGCCGCGCACCCGAGACGCCGTGGTTGTGCGGTGCCAGGTCCCCGAGGTAGCAAAACCTCCCTCCGGAATCGGAAGTTGGAGTTTTCCCAAGGGCGCGGGTCTCCGGCTGAGGGTCAGGGCCCCCACCCCGAGGGCTCCCCGGAGACCCCGGCCCGACGCCGCCCGGGACGCGCGGGCGACACTCACCGCGGCGCGGGCTCAGGGCGCACGGGCCGAGCCGGGCTCGGGCTGCGCGGCGGGCGCGGCGCGCTCCTGGCGGCTGCGGAAGTCCTCCAGGGCGCGGCGGTTCTGGAAGTCGATAAGCGCCAGAGTGATGGCCGCGTTCCAGCAGCTCTCGCCGGCGCAGCGGAAGTCGATCTCCTTGCGGTCGGTGGTGACGATGGTGAAGTAGACGTACTTGCCCGTGCGCTCCACGCAGTCCACCTTGAGGATGGAGTGGAAGCGCAGCTCCTTGGGGCGCGCGCCGGGCCCGGCGGGGAAGAGGCGCAGGCGGTCGGGGGTGAGCACGCCGCGCTTCTTCTTCCACAGCTGGAACAGGCTGTCGCTGCGCTTCTCCAGCTCGCCCTCGCGCAGCACCTCGCCGGGGGTCTTCATGTCGGGCGAGCGCTCGGGCGGTGGCGGCGCCGGCTGTGCGCCTCGCGGCCCGGCGCGGCGCTTATGTAGGCCCCGCCCCGCGGCCGGCCCCGCCCCGCGTCACGCCCCCGCAGGCCACGCCCTGGGCCCACCCCGCCGGCCTTCCGGGGCTGGCCTCCGCGTCCCTGCCCCAGCCTCTCCTGCTCCTGACGTCCCAGCTGCCCGGCCCGGTAGGGTGACTCGCGATCTCCACCCCACCCGGGCGCCGGCCCCGCGGAGGAATGCGCTGCAGCCGGCCGTGCCCGCGGTGACTCACCGCCGGGAAGCGCCCGCGGGCCCTGGACTGGTCCGGGAAGGGGGACAGTAGGCCTGGGACCCGTTCGCCCAGGCGACCCGAGATCTGGCCCTGCCGTTCCAGAGCTCTGGGTCGCGGCGCCTCTCGAGGTCGCTTTCGGGGTCACCCCAGACGCTCTCCAAAAATGGCCCTGCCCCAGCAGGCCTTATTGACCATCTTGGCACCCAGGGACTGCGCTTGGACTTCCCCCTGAGCCTGTTTCCCTTCTGTCAAATGGGGACAGTGACCGTTATTAGCTCAGGCAGCACATGGGAAGGGTTCAGCAACCGGCAGGAGGAAGGCATTTACCCTCCTCCGTGGGCCCGTGTGTGTCCCCAGCTGGGAGAGGACTCTGGCAGGGATGATGCAGCCCAGACCGGAGAGAGGCCAGGGGGGTATAGGGGGTGGCGGCCAGCAGGGATATGCCCACGGGACCAGCCTGACCGCCAGGGGCCACGGCGGCGGCTGCGTCATCGCCTCCCAGCCGGGCAGCCAGGCTGTCATTTATCGTCTTCCTTTAAAGGGCTTAATAGGAGCAGGAAGCCAAGGCCAGCTCCCGGTTCCCAGGGGTGGGGGTGGGGGTGCCAGGCTGTTCCAGGGCCCCCACCAGGGGCAGTCCTGGCAGGGGTGCTGCCCGGAAGTCCCACACTGAGGCTGGGAACAGCCTCCCCAGCTTCCTCCTCTGCAAGACTGGCAAAAGTGAAAGGCCGGCCCTGGGTTCAGGACACTACAAAGTTCAGAAGTGATAACAGAGCACACAACCGAGTTCCTGGACCCACCCTGCCCCACCCTGCGTGTCCTGGACAAGCCCCTTAACCTCCCAGAGCACAGTCCAGGATCGGGCCCTCAGGGTCACTTTGAGGAGTTAAAGGAGCTGGGCAGGCACAGAGGGCTAGGAGCATGGCCAGGTGGGGTGGGTGTGGGAGGGCCAGGGGGGTGGACCCAGAGTGGGGCGCCCAGGATTCTGGCCTGTGGAGAACACCAGCATAAGGACTCGTGGCCAGGCATCTGGTCCTGCCTGTGACCTGTGGGGTGAGCAGGCCAGAGGGGTGAGTGAGGAGAGATTCCCCCGCAGGACCCTCCATTAATAGGGAGTGAGCTCCCCATCCCTGCAGGCATCCCGGCTGACTGGTCAGCCGCAGGTGGGCGGGGGTAACACAGGATCATGCTAGGGGAGACCTCAGGAGGCTGTGGACTCTCCCTGGGCCCTCCCCCAGCAGCCTGGTCACTGTCCTGCTCTGTCCTGTGCAGGTCGTGGGCTGCGAGCAGACAGGCTGGGCAAGAGTCTCCTCTGGGAAGTGGGAGGTAGGGGAAGGGACGAGAGGCAGAGTCACTACAAGCCCACAGGTGCCCAGTGCCCTGCCTGGAACCCCCAGACCCAACAGAGCCCCCCAGCTCACCTCCCCCTCCCAGAACCAGCCAGTGGAGCCTCGGCCCTGGGCCTCCCAGGCACCTGGCATTGCTTGAGCACCTACGGGCCTGGCTGGTGCTGGGACCCCA